GAAGAATTTAACTTTTACCAAAGTATTTTTATGATTTGATACTTGTACTTTTACTCAAGTATCACTTTGAGGTACTTTATAAAACACTGCAACTTTGAAGATGGAATAAAACAAATCAACTAAGCTGCTTTTAGACGCACACAAACGAGATGAACTCTATAACCTATAGCAGGGAAACTCAAACCTTTTGGGTCTGGGGACCCCCTACATGGGCAAAACAATAAACCAGGGACCCCATCATAAACCCCATGCTGTTTTTAAAAGATAATTTACTGTAATTTCAACTCCTAAATGCCATGGAATATATATTTTTATTTATTTTGTTTTATTAGTTCATTGTTCCCCATGCATTTTTGAAAATAAAAACCAAATTAACAATTCAGTCTCATGGACCCCAGTTTGATTCATTAGTTTATTATTTATTATAATGCATGTATCTGTATTGAGAAGGTAAAAGCTGTGATTTGTGCAGCACTSAAGGTAAAACTGCAGCTGTGGCTCCCTCTGCTGGACACCATCAGTACTGCATGRTTTAACCTGCTGGTTGTTTGTGTTTAACAACCTCAGGTGATCATAGAGGTGACAGAAATGCTCCACAACGCCAGCCTGCTGATCGACGACATCGAGGACAGCTCCAAGCTGCGCCGAGGCTTCCCCGTGGCGCACAGCATCTACGGCGTCCCCTCCGTCATCAACTCCGCCAACTACGTCTACTTCCTGGGTCTGGAGAAGGTGCTGGTGCTGGAGCACCCCGAGGCCGTGCGCGTCTTCACCCGCCAGCTGCTGGAGCTGCACCGCGGCCAGGGCCTGGACATCCACTGGAGGGACACCTACACCTGTCCCACAGAGGAGGAGTACCGCCACATGGTGCTGCAGAAGACGGGCGGGCTCTTCGGCCTGGCCGTGGGCCTCATGCAGCTCTTCTCCGACTGGAAGCAGGACCTGAAGCCCCTCCTGGACACGCTGGGCCTCTTCTTCCAGATCCGTGACGACTACGCCAACCTGAGCTCCCGCGAGTACAGCGAGAACAAAAGCTACTGCGAAGACCTGACCGAGGGCAAGTTCTCCTTCCCCACCATTCACGCCATCTGGTCGCAGCCGGACAGCACCCAGGTGCAGAACATCCTGCGGCAGCGCACCGAGAACATGGACATCAAACGTTACTGCGTGGACTACCTGGAGAAGGTGGGCTCGTTCGCGTACACCCGTCAGACCCTGCGGGACCTGGAGGCCGAGGCGTACCGGCTCATCCGGGGGTTCGGAGGGAACCCGCAGCTGGAGAGCCTCATCAAACACCTGAGCCAGATGCACCGCGAGGCCGAGGCTGCGGCAGGGTCCAGGGAGGGAGCAGAACCCGGTCAGAACCACTGACCTCCACCTGCTCTTGATGGCTGAAGCTCTGCTCACAAACACTCCTGGAGTTCACCTCAGCAGCTGGGAGGTGGAGCTTCAAGGACCGGGTTTCAACGAACTGAATCTCCTCTGATGTCACTGCCCTGCATGTTTTACCTGCTYCTCTGCTCCAACACACCTGATTCAGGGACTGAATGACCTCCTCAGGTTCTGCAGAAGCCTGTGARTCACCTGTTCATTAAATCAGATGTTGGAGCAGAGAAACATCTAAAACCACCCTTCAGCCTGAGTGGTTTCAGGTGGTCTCCTCAGCTCTGTCCACCATCCATACCTCATTCTGATCAACACGGGGTCGCATTTCTTCTTGCATCCGTGCCCTGAGAGGTTGTCTACAGCTTTACGAAGCTTATTCTGTGTAATAATYAGCTGAGCTCAGGAACTTGGAGATGGTTTTACATTTTTAAGGTGGACCTCTGTAATCTGCTCTCAGCTGTAGGTTCAGTTTGGTCACACAAAAAAAAAAAGCTTTTTACTGACAAATGAAGCACTGGTTCTAAATGTACCTGTTTCTCCAGTTTGTTTTTCCTGTGTTTAAAATCATTTTCAGATGATTTAGTCACCAGAGTGCCGATCTAGATTGCTGCTGGCGTTGAGCGCTGATGCAGTTTTCGTACTGTATTCTTTTATTTATTTTTAACGCAGCTCTTCGAAAATCACATTTTCCGATCATTAAAGTGTTTTTGTTGACACCGCTGTGAAAAAAATTGAGTTGACTAAATTAAAAAAATATTTAAAGACTTGTTTTTGCCTTTTTCAGATTTGTGTGGCATCTTTTGATTCTCGTCTTAAACTTAAAGATGACGTCACCATCTGAGGATTCAGCAGTAGTTTGTCGTTTTTTAAATCCCGTTTTATCTCCTCCTGTTAATTTGGTCGTGAGGTTTTTTGCACCAGACAGCTTTGTTGACTGAAGCCTCTTTGCTTCTGACGGCCCAAATTCAATTAATTACACRTCATCTCGTTCTGAACGCGCTGTCACTGAAAACCCATCTATTCATCCAAATGTCAAGTTGGAGAAATGTAAAGAACCGAGCTCTAATTTCATCTCCAAACAGCTCAGGAAAATGTAAAACAAATGCATTTCAGAATTGATGAACAGCTTTAAAAAAAATGCACAAATTGGCTTCTGCCGAGCCGACTAAGTCCACGATGGTAATCAAAGCTTTCATTTTTTCTTCCCTCTGTAGGATGACTGTTGATTTTCCTCACTCKCCGTGTCTGATTTGTTTGGGAGATGAAGAGCGGCGTGGCTACAGCTGCAGATTTATCACATTTGTTGCTTGGTAGCACTAAAAAAATAACAAAAACAAAAAAAGAACAGGTTGTAAATGTAGCTTTTTGTGATGTGATTGAATCAAGGTTTCATTCTGAGCTTCTCGTCTTTTTAAATTCATGAGGTGCTTTTTTTTTCAGGTGCACTTTGCACACATTTACACCTCCRAACCAGAACCACTGTTCAGAGCTCAGAGCTGCACCTGCTGAGATGCTTTTATTCCAATAAAACCCTTAAAAGAAACACCCAGGGTTTTATTTGAACTGAAACAAACCTGCAGTTTCAGCTGTGCACCGTGTTTGTAGCTAAAAAGAAATGAGCTTTAAAGAGAATATTCAATAGTTTACAAATAGGATCAAAGTGGAAAGATGTCTGCTGCTGCCCATCAATCTGAGGGTCAAAGGTCATCAACTCAGTCTTCCCAGGAGTGAACATGTCTGCACAGTGGTTCCCAAACTTTTCAGCTTTAGACCCATAAAATGCCAGCATCAAAGACCTGTGACCCCAGCTGCTCACGTCAAATAAACAGCATAGTCACAATGTTACTCTTTGTCCATCTGAAAGGAGACCTATTATGGGGGTCTTAGGATCCATCTGTGGGCTATACAAAACCTGTTCATTTGATTTAATTCACAAAATTAATCTCAGATAATGAAATTTCGCTTTTTCAGTTCTGCCTTTTCTTCAGCTCTCTTCAGAACTCCAACATTTTGTTTACATTAGCTCCGCCCCCCGCAAGTTTACTTTGTTTCTTTTCAGTAGAAAGTACGATTTTTCCAAAGTAGTTCATGGTGAAATTATTTACACAAACTTTCTTTAATATTGCTAGAACATTGCCATCAAAAATAAAATTAAGCCACACGTCTCTGTTCTCCATGACTGCTCTAAAACAGCAGAACCGTCCTGTGAAGAAGTGGGCGGAGTCTCTGCTTGGGTTAAATGGAGACGGGCTGGGCTCAGGTTGGGGTGGGCTGGAGTGAAACTTGTGACATCACAAGTAGCGGTGTTTGAAAACAGGTCATTTCAAGACAGAAAAATACATTTACTTATAGTTAAAATACCTCTGAGTGCAGTTTTTTGGTGCTTGGACTGTTTTTAGAAGCAGTACAGACCCAAATACAAGTTAAAAAAACTTGAAAAAAGTGAATTTTGCATATTTGGTCCCCTTTAAGTACAATAACTTTATTCTTTTGTAACAACAAAAACAAAAAATTGTAATTTTTTTGTGTAATTCAGAAAATCTTTACAGGACCCCACTGTGGATCCCGACCCCAACTTTAGGAACCATTGTCCTAGCCAATTCACCCTGAAGGCCAGACTGTGCAGTGCTCACTGGCACCATTGGTATGGTTGGGAATCAAACCTGCAGCTGTCCAGTCCTAAGTCAGCTGCTCTATCGCTGCACCACAGCAAATGTGTTGCTGCTTGCTAATTCTAGCTTCTACATACCACTTTGCTTGTTTTAGCCTTTCAGTAGCACATTGCTACTTGTTGCAACATTTAGCTTGCATTTGGCTGCTGTTAGCAAACATTTCTAAGTTTCACCTTTTAGCTAGCACATTGCTTCKGTTATCTTTAGCTGGTGTTGTGCAACTTGGCTATCATAAGGCTTAACAGCATTAACATTTAGCTACTTCTGGCTGTTAGTGTTTTGCACTAGTTTGCATTTTGCAAACATTTCTAAGTTTCACTTTTAAGCTAGCTGATTGCGTTTGTTAGCCTTTAGCTATTGTTTTGAAACATGTAGCATATATTTTGCTACTTTCAGCTAACWTTTTGCTGTGTTTGTCATTTAATTAGCACTTAAGATACATTTGGCTTTTAACTAGTAAACACTTAATAGTTTTTAGCTGTTGTTGCTCCACATTTAGCTGACACGTTCTAGTTTTAGGTAAATTTGGTTTTTAATATTCATTTAGCTACTTTTGGCTTTAGTCAGTCGATACTTTTTTTAGCTAGTGTTTTGCCATTTTTAGCTACCACTAAGACACATTTGGCTTTTAACTGGTCAAATATTTAATAGTTTTTAGCTATTTTGCCATTTTTAGCTCACATTTTTCTAGTTTTAGCTAACATTTTCTTTGGTTTTTAATTTGCACTTAGCTACTTTTGGCTACTAGTAAAAAAAAAAGCTTTTAGCTACATTTATCTTGCATTTTGCTGCTTTTAGCAAACATTTTGCCCTAATTAGCTTTTAATTTGCAATTAAGTGCTTTTGGCTTTAACCTATTCAACAACTAATAGCTTTTAGCTAGTGTCCTGCAACTTTTACCTCATTTGGCTGCAGTTGGCTAGCTCATTGCCTTTATTAGCTTTTAGCTAGTGTTTWCTGCTTTAAACTTGCATTTTGCTATTTTTATTTTTAAACTAGCATAACACTTTTAGCTAGTCTTTCGAAACATTTGGCTTTTGCTGCTGCTTTTAGCAAATATTTCTGTTTCACCTTTTAGCTAGCACATAACTTCTGTTTGCTTTTAGCTTGTGTTTTGCTACATGTAAACATAACTTGCATCTGCAGCGTAGCGTTTTTGCTACTTTTGTCTCTCAGCTTTAGCTTGAAGAAAGTCCTTCAGCTGATTGTTGTTGACGTATCCTTTAAATGTCACAAAGCAAACAGGCTGCAGGTTATTCTGTTCGTAKCGTAGCGCCGCTCCCAGAACATCTCATGAATAATTCTGTCAGTTTGTAGAAAAACTCTCAGGATCTTTGAATCCCATCGGAGGAACAAACTGAACAATCGCTAATTTCCACCAGCAGCTGCTGAAACGAGTGAATCTTTCTCGTCTGCAGCTCAGAGGAGAAATGTTTAGATCCTCGCTGGAGCAGCAGAGAAACCATCTGAAGCTGATCTTCTGTGGGGAAAATGTTGTTTAGACAAAGAAAAGACAGGAGAGGTCTGAGAATTATATTTATTTAATGAACAGGATGCTTTTAGAGAGGATTTATAATCGGGGGGAAACAGTCCACTCTCTTTCACTTCTTGGGTTTTATGTAACAGAAGGTAAAAAAAAAAGAAATGTTCTAAATTTATTCAAATCTAACCTCAAGTGAACAAAAAAACAAAAAGAAGATTCCTGCGAGTCATTATTTATTAAACAAACCCTCCTGATCCAGCAGAAGAACTCTGTGGTTGTGGAGGAACTCTTATGTCCAGCGTTGCTTCGGCTCGCTGAGGGTCCCACCGCAGGGTTTCAGTTCTGGTTCTGGTCTTTAACTGGACCATTACAACACCTCGAATCTTTGACCCGTCCTGTTTGATTCAGTTTGGTCCAAACCTGTTTTATCCTCCTGCTACTTTTAGCTTTCAGCTACCCTTTTGATACTTTGTTTTAGCTACCATTCTGCTATGTTTAGCTAGCCTTTTGATGGGTTTTCAGTTGCTGTTCCTCCTTTTAGCTACTATTCTGCTAAATGTTGCTAATATTTTCAAATTAGTTTTCAGCTCTTCTGTTACCTTTTAGCTACCATTCAGCTATTTGAACTTTCATTTACATTCATGTTTAAACTAGCCTCTTACTACTTTTAGCTTTTAGCTAACCTTTTGATACTTTGTTTTTAGCTACCATTCTGATATTTTTAGCTAACCTTTTGATAAGTTGTTTTTAGTTGCTGTTCTACCTTTATTCATTCTGCTAAATTTCACTAATATTTTCAATTTAGTTTTTCAGCTGTTCTATTACATTTAGCTACCATTCAGCTATTTTGAACTTTTGTTTACATTCATGTTTAAACTAGCCTCTTACTACTTTTAGCTTACCTTTTGATACTTTTAGATTTTAGCCACTGCTCGGCTACAGGTAGATAACAATTTGCTACTTTTAGTTTCATCTAGGTTTTTGATAATTTGTTTTTAGCTATTATTCTACCTTTAGCTACCATTCTGCTAGTTTGCTAGCCTGACCTTTGATATGTTGTTTTCAGCWACTGTTCTGCCATTCTGCTACTTTTAGCCTTGAGCTAGCATTTTGATACCTTTTTAGCTACTGTTCTTTTGCCTTTAGCTAGCTCTGCTACTTGAAACTTTTTTACTTTCATGTTTAAACTAGCCTCTTACTACTTTTAGCTTTCATCTAACCGTTTAAAATTGTTAGATTTCAGCTGCTTCTTTTAGTTTTCAGCTGTTTTAACTAGACTGTTGCTACTTTGAACTTTTATCTGCTGTTCCACTACTTGTAGCTAGCTGTTTGCTATATTTCATTTCTAGCCTTTAGCTACTTTCAGTTTAGTTAGCTTTTTGATATTTTAGCTTCTGAATGCTCGTATATTTTTAGCTTCAGTACATTTTGTTCACAAAGAAAATATTTTTTTCCARCAGCCGACCTTGTTGTGGAACTGATCCAGTGTCCACTATGTTCTGAAAATGTTTGTGAGGAGACATAACCAGCCGAACCCCCCGCCCCCTTCGGCTGATAAAACACTGTAGCTGCTATGGAAATGAGGCAGAGGGCTGTGGGCCGGGAGATGAAACCATCGGCCCGTTTGGGCCTCGCTGTGCGTCTAATAATACAGCTCTGGATCCTGTGGATCTGAATCAGTCAGAAATGCTGTTTCTTGTTTTATTTTGGATGCAGGGCGTCATGAATAAATGATTCGATGCACAGAGGAGGAAGAGGAGGTTGATTGACAGCTAGCGCTCGGAGGAAATTCTGGGGTTTGTTTGAATGAGTCTGCAGATGTGCAGCACTCAGCGGACTCTGAGCTCCTTTTTCCCCGACATGGAGCTGATCTGAAACGTTGTCATTACTCCGACAGTGAAAGAGACGTTTTATTCAGAACATAATGATTTTCAAACCTCAAACTTTATTCTCATCTGAACATCAAACGTTTAAACTAAAAACATTTAAAATGTAAATCAACCCTCTTTTAACAATGGTCCAAATGTCCACTTTCACGGTCAAATATCAAAGCAGGTTTTGTCGTCACGTAGAGAAGATTACAGCCCTGAGGGCGCCGACGGTCCAAATGATTCTGGGTTAGTTAGACGACGCGCTCCGTTAATCTTTAAACATTTCGCTTCAAGACTATCGATCGTTCCGAGACCAAAGAAATACTTTACCTGTGTGTTTTTTTTTTTCATCTCACTTTAATTTATATCGATGTACAAGCTGGTTTTTAAGTTTCTGCGGAGTGATTTTCAGTTCTAGAAGCAGAAAATATCCAGCGGCAGGACTAATCCCAGAACACAGCGATGTGTTAAATCACTATAAACAAGCCGGAGGGGAACCGGAGCACAAAATGTCCAGAAATCTGCAGGTAAACATTTGTTTCACACTTCAACTGTGTTCCAAAGACAGTCAGGTTACTGGATTTCTATTAAAGGATGTTTGCTGATAAAACATCAACAAAAAAAAAAAAATCAGTTTCCTGTCTAAATCCCCACCAAAATAAAGCAACGAGCACATATTTAATCCCTCACAAGTTCTTTATTACCGTTTGTAAAATCGTGACAGATGTCTACTTCACAGTCGAGTTTTGTGTTGATGTCACGAGCGCCACCGTGCTAACACAAACACTCGCACAAGAAAAGTTACAGAACAGGAAGTGCTTCCGTCTGCGAGAGAGAATCTACAAACAGTGGAGACGATGAAAAGCTTCGGACGGTTTACAAAATATACAGAAAATACAGACGCAAAAAAAAAGCACAAAAGGTCGCTGAAATAACATGAAACTGACTAAAAGTAAAAAGGAATTAATCAAACATTGCCTTTTATATGATAAAATATGTTTAAAGGGTAGTCACAGGGCTGTTTGGTATCATGATGTGTAACAGATCAACCACAGAAAACTGAGGAGCTCTGAAAGAAAATTAAACATTTTCTTACTACTTCTGCCAGCGGTGGGGACAGCCAACACAAAAAATTAGCTTTGCTAACTCATACACTATTGTTTTGCTAATGCTAAACATGTAAAAATTAGCAGAAGCTAACACTAACAGCTGACYGCTAATATAACAGTCACTCAGTCTGCGTCACACATCGTCTCATTCGAGTCTTCCCATATTTCCATCGAGGAACATTATTCTGAAATTCTACCACTATTTTTAGACAAATTTTATTTAACTTCTCTAAACAATTTTTGTACCCAAACCTCTAGTTAACTTGATTAAAACCCAATGGTTGGTACAGCTAACCAAGAAAAGTTAGCTTCGCTCACTCAAACTGCCATTTAAAAGTTTTAATTTGCTAACGCTATATGGCTACATAAAATAATTAGGGGAAGCTAACCGCTAATACGACGGTCATCCAGTCTGCGTCACATGTCTTTATCTCCTTCAAGGTGGGACTTATAGCTCTTTAGCTGTTAGCATATTTAAAGTTGGCAAAACCCAATTTAGCAGAAGCTAAACCGCTAAACGAAAAATTAGTTCTGCTATTAGCTGCTAGATGATTTGCCAGTTTTAGGTTATTTCAGCGACTTTTATGAGTTTTTCCTTTTAAGCGATTTAAAAAAAAGAAAATTTATCTGCGTCTGCTTCTCCTCTCAGATCTGGATGTTAGTAATCAACATCTGCAGATTACAAAGTGCTCAAGTCTTGCAGTCATGATTGTTGTCAATAGTTACATCACTAAAAGCTAAAAACTTCTGGACATTAAGAGAAACGAGACAACATGAACACGATCTGACAGGAAACGGGTCATTTCGGTGCAGGATCTTGTTGTGTACGTTTCAAAGGAGAACTAAAAGTACAGAGACCGAGCCGGGAGCCGGTGCTGAGTGCATTTTACCCACAGTGCCGTGCGTTCAGTGGTCCCAGGGACAACCACAGGGGTCCCCGCAGGCCCTCCTCCTGTCCCAGAGGAGGCGCAGCTCCTGGGCCGTGTGCTGGGGGGACGACAGCATATCCAGGTAGCACTCCTTCTCGCAGAGCCAACCGGCGTCCTGCCAGACAAACATGAAGCTTAGATCAGAGATTCTTAACCCATGGGCCGCKGCCCAATTGTGGCCCACAGCGCCRCCTTGAGGGTCTCAAAAGAACAACAGTTTTTAACTTTGGGCCGCAGAGGGCCGCATTGATTTTGAATAAGGTGCAATACACTTTCTCACCACTAGTAGCAGTAGTGCACCAGTCAGATGTTTAACAACGTTTTTAATATGTAGAAGAAGAACTTTAGAAACCTGCTGAAAATGGAAACTTATTTAAATTAAAAGTAGAAGCAAAAATGAAAGTAACTCGTCAAAAAATACCAGTTTGTCACTAATATGAAGAGCAGCTTCTGGTTCTACCATGCAATATTTTTAAAAGTTTAAAACATCAAATACAGTTGCAGATACAACTATATTTTAATTTGCACTTT